TAAATTGTCCGTAGGTGTGAATGTGAGTGTGCTTGGTTGTCTGTCTCTAAGTGTAGCCCTGTGATAAACTGGTTACCTGTCCAGGTGAACCTGACTTCACCCTGAGTCAGCTGGGATAGACTCCAGCCCCCCATGACTCTAGTGAGGATTAAGCAGTGTATAGATGATGGATGGATGGACTTTTAAGGGGAAAATACTACATTGTTAATATCTAAAATTAAAATGATCACAAAGGCGTTACAAATATGAATCATTTTTATTTATTTTCTTTTCAAACATACAATTATGACCTTTTAAAAAAGCAGTTGAAAACCAATAAGCAAACGTATTACTGAAACTACAAACAACACAAAAATCAAACGCATTAAAAAACAGCCACAGTCTACACCTCTCAGTCACCGAGGGGAGGTTAAGGGTTAATGGAGGCACCCACAAGTCTACCAGCACGTGAATGCAACGTAAATCGATTACCTCAGTAAAAAAAAAGAAAAAAAAAAAGAAAAGTGCTTTTCATCGGAGAGTTTCCCACCAAGCCGAGGCATGTGTCCCGTTTTCACCACTCCAGCATACCTCTCATAATCCAATAACCCAGTTTACAGAAGGAATGCTGACCTCCGACTGTAATAAAGTCAAACTAAGAATCTGTTTGTCAATAATATATTCAAATGTACCACTTTACATAGCTGGTGGATTGTCTGAAGGCACCTGTTCAGGATTTTACCATCAGTCTGTCAGTTCTTTAGTCTCAGCGGTTCACCAGCCGGCATACACAGGCTCTGCATCACAGGGCAGCCCGTAGTATCGGCCCTGAGGTCGCTCTTTGCGCAACAGTGGAGTCCGAGCTATCGTCAGCTCTCCATCGGTGTCCCTCCGTCGACGCAGAACGATTAAAACGATGAAGAGCAAGGCCACTGGAAAAACAGAGGAAAACAGCCGAGGACGTAACAGGACCGTGTGCACAAAGAGAGCATTGATACAAGAGCATGATTCTTATTTCATTCGATTATGTTGTTAGTTACAGCAGCTGACTGGGCCGCTTTTAATCATCAGGATGTAGTTTGAATTACCGAGCTTCATCTACATTTATATAGCTCAAAGAAAGCTGTTGCAGTGTTATTACAGTGCCGGCTGATTGAATCAGTCGAGGGTGGAAAGTATGACGGTGGTTCTAAGTTCCCCTGAATACTTTTCCTCATTTCTTCTGGCTTTCTTTTTATGAGTGACCAAAAAAAACCCCACTGTGCCAAGTTACAGAAAGCTTGGCACCGCGTCTGTTGAACCATGACTGTATGAAACACCGACTATTACTAATTAAAAGAAACGTTGGCATGCAATCAGCTTATATAAATACGGCTCGAAGCTCGTCAACGTTAAAGTTAATCAGTTTGAAAGGCACAACGGCGAGACCGACGCTTTTAACACGGTCAGTGTTGAGATGCATTCCTAAAGAACCTCCACACTTTATTTTCTTTTAAGCATTATTACTCACCCCCTCCTCCGATAACCAACAGCGCAATCGTGACGGGAGCCATTTCACAAGTGTCCCCTGATTTGCGGAAGAAAGTCTCCATGCAGTAGCCGGGAGCCAAGCTGCCCTCCGGACAGAAGGCGTCGGTCGGACACAGGATGGGGTTCACATCAGGGCTCTGGGAGAACAAACAGCATGTCAGCAAACATGCAGAATATCTCTCCAGTGAACACGTGTTAAATCTCTTGTCTGACAAAGTGTGCAGCGTTGGGGCACTCACGGGGCAGTAGTGGTTCTCTGGGCAGACTTCACAGCTCTCCTGCCCCCACTGGACCTGGTAGAAGCCGCTGCCACAGATCTGACACATGGTCTGATGGGCAGCCTTGTGCATGCCTGTTGGAGAGCAGACATCGCTTGGATGGATGACAGTTCTTCCACTTCTCTATTATAAACAGCAGCAAAAACTTGAACAAATAACGAATTACTTTGCTGTAGCTTAATGTTTGCGTGTTACCTGGGCGACACGGCGTGCAGCGTGTAGCACCGGTCTGCAGAGTTTCTGTTCCTCCAGGACACATTTGGCACTGGGCGCAGCTGGACGAGCTGTCAGCAAGAAAGATGCATGTTTCTAGCCATTAAATGACAAATTACTGCAGGTTTCATGGCCACCACAAGTAACCTGGAGGCATTTTTAGAAAAAAAACAGCAAAGTTGATTTGGGGGAAGTTTGATTTCAAGGTGCTGACAGACACACGTTGGGTGTGGATCCGCCTCTTACTGGGAAAGGACTT